ACGTTTGTTTAATTTATTTATAGTTTATTTATTTAAAACACTTTATTTATAAGTACTAATTAATTTATATAATACTAAATTATTACAATTTATCTTCTCTGTCAAACACTTAAATTGAATCCTCCTCTCTGTCGATAAACTCGCGCTATTTATAACGAAAACTGCCTCTCTATGACTCATACGCCGCAAAGCGATCACTCCGGAAGTTTCGAGAAGCGGTTCGTTTGTCTCTATATGGCCAGCGCTGAACTTCATTCCGCGGGCAAGAAGTAAACAAAGTACAGACAGGGCTTCGCGTCACTATACTGATTCTCAGAATTTATCTGTAAAGTGCATCCAAATTAGATAAAGACTGATATTCTGCTAATACATTATTTCTCTTAGAACTTATCTATTATTATTACTATTTTATTTTTCCCGGCATTTACCAATTTGAATTTAAGTATTTTTCCATGAAATCATTACAAAAACCCAACGAGTGTTTATATTAGGTTTTTATTTTCAACCTGTTAGTCTGGAATAAAGTTTTCTTCTAGTTTATGAGTTATTCAAATAATTGTCCTAAAATCCTAGAATTTTAGAACAAAACTTTATTTATTTAAATAAAAGTAGCTACAATAATTATAGAATAAACACTAAAAACTATAAAATATAATTCATTTTTAACTTATCGTACAGACAAAAAACGTGACATCGAACAAAGTAAACCTATAACTATAACGATAGTCTAATTTATTTATAGTTTATTTATTTTAAACACACTATTTACAATTTATTTAAGACGTATTAATTAATTTATATAATACTTAGGCACTAACTCACAATTCTAATTTATTTATTACAATTTAACTTTTCTGTTCAATACTTTATACTAAACTAAAATGTCCGCCGATAAGCCGTTTATTTATACCAAGTCCAACTCTGCTACGAGAAGTCTCTAGACGCTCTAGAAAATTTCATCTCTGATTCAACGGCACTCTCTGCCCGTTCTAGCCGTTTCTCGAGCGTCAGCGGCATTTCTAGATTCCGTCATTTCGAGCATGAGTCGGGTGCCAAGCTGAAGCAAGCGACCTTTAGACAGGCTCGGCCTAGGAATTTTATGACATTGCCCCCTCCTTAAGAAATAGTTCCTCCTTTAACTAAAACTAAATGGTTGTATTTGCAACTGGATCCTCTTTTTTAATTTCAAGTTGCATGGAAGTTACAAGGGACAGTCTTCGTTATAACCTAAACACTAGGAGAATGGTTGCAGACCAGTATTTCAACCTGGGTATCTTGAAAGATTACTTTCACCATGTTTCTAATGATCTTCCAATTCAGCTGGTTGCTCTCTATCTTTGGCATAGCTGGTTTCTGTACATTGGACTCCAGTACATGCTCCCTCAGACTGAGTAATGCTTCCCATATTTCATGATAAGTGGATAGATCTAAAAAGTTGTTCTTTGTTATCAAATAGAAAAGATAACGCGATCCATCTTGACGTTTCAATGTTTTTCCAGGGGCTGGTAACTGACCTTGAAGCTCTGGCCATCGCCCAAACTTCTTCTAGAACACAGATGCCAGACATCGAGCATCGTTGATGTTGGTGGAAGTGCTATGGATCAGTGAGTAGTCTTTAGGACCGTGAGCAGATATTGTTGTTGCTCGGTTGTAACACCATGTCTTGCTTTTCCAGTACCTCCATATGCATCCATAAATTCTTCAGAGATAAGGTCAGGTGTTTCTTGGAGCTGATTTAGTTCTTCTTCCTCGTCATGAACACTTTTAAATGGGGTCAGTTGATTTTGGTGCACTACCTTCGGTTTATCGTTTGGGATCTTACTTATAAGGTAAATGACATCATTGATTTTTTTCTTGATGAGATACGGACCTTTCCAAGACCTTTGATGCTTCGGAGAATAAGCCTTTTGTCTTTTTGGGTTATGGATTCAGACTTTGTCACCTTCCTTGAAACATCCTTCTGTGACTTGGATATCGTATCGCTACTTTATTTTGTCGCTGGCGATTTGATGATGCGAGCAAACTAATTCATGCATTTCGTCCATTTTTATTCGTAGCTGGATCACATAATCTTCACCGGCTATGTCTTCTTCAGGTCGGCATCCAAACTCGAGGTCACACGGTAGTCTCATCTCACGCCCGAACTGCATATTGTTAATTGTCTTATTTATTCGCCTTCAACATTTTATTCGACTGTGGGTGCAATGCCGTAGTTCTGGGTTCCTTCATGCCTAGTCTGTCACAGATTCCTCGGAAAAGATAGCTTTCAAAATGTTTGCCTTGGTCACTGTGAAATCTAAGGTCACTTGCGGCCTCTTAATTTGGAATGGCGTAGACTTCCACCCACTTCGTGAAATAATCCATAACCACCATCATGTATTTATTACCATTCTCGGTCATGGGGAATGGTCCAGCAATATCTAAGGCAGTTGATATTATTTTTCGTTTTTAAATTAGGTTTTTTTTTAATATTTTGATCCCCTTTAACTCTCCAATTTATTCAGATTTTTTTTTCAGAATTAACAGGCTTTATCTCTTCTTCTAGAACTTCACTTTTACTAAACATTTCATGTTGATATCGCTGTTTTTAATATAGGATTTTTTTTTAAATTCAACATATCTTAACTCCCTATTTTTATCCAGGTTTTTTTTAAATCAATAGGCTTTGTCCCCTTATAGAACTTGGCTTTTTCTTAAAATTTTCAAATTGATATCATTTTCGTTTTTGACTTATCGTGGCCTGAGAGGAGAAGACCTAATATGTTTACATAAATTGTAGACAACTTCAAATGGTTTTTTATTAACCAGGGCTAGCAGGTCTTTAGTTTAACATCAAATCGTTTCTTACTTCTTTTTGGCTATGAGTTTTCCCTTTGAGGTCTCAGTCTCGATGAGGTGGGAACCACCAATTTAACATTTCTCGAATTTTGAGAAAAATTGTACAATAATTGTTAATTAAACTTCTAGAAATAGAAACCCTTTTGCAAAATACGAAATAAATTTTAGTTTAAAAATGAACATTTAACCTGGAGAAACTCAATTTTATATCGTAAAACTTTCTATATTAGTTGCTCCTATGTATTCCCAAGGAATAGGTAATTTAATATTCATTTCATGAGTTTGAATTTTACTGTATAAGATATATTACGTGCCTTTGTTTGTATTTAAAATTGGAAAACTTTTGCAAACGCAGATGTTAGTTGAGCTCCTTTCAAAATGTATTAATTAACATTATTGATTTCAAACACCGTCCAGGTTAAAATTCCCTTTATGTCGTACCTATACTGTTGGTTATTTAAATAAGATATCTATAAACGTTTTAGGCTAAAAATACGTGAAGTATATGACCAATTTTATCTGCTTCTTCAGACTTCAGAGAGGTTATTTTTACAAATACTGTTCTAAAAAATTTCGAAAGATATTTTTAATATTATATATAATCTTAATAAATTCAGTTACAATATACACATTTTATTTATTTTTTTCGGCTAAATTTGTTTGATGTGTACTGGTCTTAAAATTATTAAATAAACTGGTAATTTCCACTCAAAAGTTGTTTATGATAATAATAAGCCGTAAAATATTTTATTGCAGTTTACGATTCTCATAAAACAAATTGTGTCATTAAATTTTATTCATCTATAATTTTAATAACACCTATTATAAGTGTAGTTTAAATAGGATAAACATAAATAATACTATATCATTGTTTAAAGAGTAGAGATAGTTAGTCAGCGCCTGTATAAATTCTGTTTGACTACCTCTCGCACCCTCCAGGCATAAGGAAATGGTGCCCTACTGGTGGAGGGAAGCCGAAACTGTTAATTGATCTGTTTAAAAGTAGAAATTTATCTTTATACAATAACGGCTACCCAAAATATTCTAAGAGTTGGCTTTAGTTGCCATGTTGGAAAGGATACGGAGTAAGAGAATAAGTTTCTACGACTTGTTACGAGGGGTAGTGAAAATGTTAAATCAAAATAACAGTCTATTGATATTTTGCAATGTATTTTATTTACACGATTTTTAAGATAAAAACGCATAAATTACTCACTACAGTATCCATAAATAACAAAAATAATTTAATACCCTAATTATTATAGTAAGTACAAAGAGGCAATAACATCTATCATCAAACGACAAAAAAAAAACAAGAAAAATAACAATGCAATAACGGTTATCAGATAAATTTAGAGATACAACAGAGAACTGAATTTTGAGAACCATTTGTGTTTTTAAAAGGTTTATTAAAAAGTGGGTTTACTCTTAAAGTTGAAACATTTCAAACCAGCACAAGCCAAAATGTTTTAATAAATAGAACGATTGCAATGAAACAGTTTATATGAGCTTTTATTGTTAATAACGTATTTGTCAAAACTTTTCATATGTTTTAGAAGTTAGTTTTGGTTATATTATAGTAAAATTAACTTATAGATCTTTAGACCACTCTATCGATTACTTGAAATTTGTAATTCATAATAATAATAATAATAATATTAAAGTTTCTGATAGCAGGAAGGTGCGATATAAAAATAGTTATTTGAAAGATAAAATTAACTTGTTTATTGATTCTGAAGTATAAACAGTTTTATATTTTTTTTGGGTTTTTTAGTGTTGCTTATGTTTTTCCAATTTCGTCATAAATTTTTACAGTATTTATAAATTTGTACTTTAATTAATAAATTTAGGATATACAATATGTGTTTTTCACCATTTTGGTTACACTCGAACCATTCCGGCAAAAGAAACATTAACTTTTTTTAAATAATTTCACGTATATTTCTCAACACTTTCTGATGAGAAAATTGGTCAATATTAACTAAAACTAGATATAAACATATATTTGTAAATTTTTTCATTACTTTAGTGGGAGTTTTCAACCCATTTAATTGATCTAAATTATAGTTTTTATAAAAAATAAGAAGTTCATCGTTCTGGGTAATATCTTCAGAACCTTCTAACCTAATTTCACAAAATTGGCATTTAAATTTGTCTAAAAATTATTTTACCAAGTATCCAGAAAAATAAACGGTAGAACAACTCTCCAAAGAAAATGAATTGTCGGAAAGAGAGGAAACTAATTTAGATTTTAAAGAAGTTTCTACGTTTGTTTCCTCTTCATCATCATAGTTCTCTTTATCTTCTTCTTCCTTTTCTTCTTCCTCTTCTTCTTCCTCTTCTTCTTCCTCTTCTTCTTCCTCTTCTTCTTCCTCTTCTTCTTCCTCTTCTTCTTCCTCTTCTTCTTCCTATGGAAACTTTTCCGAAGCTAGCTGCACGGCCGGGGCCGGCGCGGTGGCTCATGGAGGTGCGGAACCTTTTAACTTCAAGTAACTATTGCTTGAAAACTATGATATTTAAAATAGTGATTGTTGTTTTAAAAACTTTCTTGAAGCTTTAGCTTTATTTGGTACGCAGATAATTTAGTGAAATTTTGAAAAATAAAACAGTTTTTCGATTACTGAAAATAGTGCTGCAACAAAGTAAAAATTAAAATTTTGTCTAGTTTTACCAAAAAGCTAGATTTTCTATACTAATGAAACTAACGCAATAATCTCCGCTACGATTAAAAAAAAAAAGGTGAAAATATCTCGTTTAATTCCGGAAATATCGCGAGGTATGTGTGAAAAAGTAATAAAACATAATTTTGACACATTTTTGACAAATTTCGCAATAAAAAATGTTGTCCCTATTAAAAAATGTTGTAATTGCCGATTTCAGATGACCAGGGACCTAGACTATTTTTTTGTAAAGACCACATGTGGTTGTACCTTAAAAAAAAATTGAAACCTTTTTGCCCGTTTTTCAGTCCACTATTATTAAATATTCTAGTATGCACATTTCTCAAAGAGTTATCAGTTATCAGAAAGTTATCCAAGTGGAAAATATCCCAGTTCATTTAATTTAGTTAAGTAATCATCGGTATAATCATAGTCTGCCATAATACCAATGTTAATGTGGCCTGTTAATATATAAACATTGTTTTTTGACTGGGTGAAAGATGGCATAGTTCTGTCAACACTGTCATATATATTCTACTTTAGTGGCATCTTGAGTAGACATGTTTGGCCTAAAGCCGTATTGTGCTGCTGAAAGTAATTTGTGTTTATCTGAGAAATTGTTTAATCTAGTCTGGATTACTTTTTCAAATACTTTAGCCCAGCTGCTAATTAAAGATACTAGCCTGTAATTAATTAATTCATTAATCAGTTTTTTCTCTATGTTTGTAGATTGGAAACACTGTTGCGAGTTTTAAAACAGATGGAAAGTGACCCTTTTGTATTTATTTATTAATTTGATTATTTAAGTATAATTTTCGACCTCAACTCGGTATATCAGATATTTGCAGATAAGTTAAACAACCTTTTTTAATGAAGTGTAGAAAAATTATTATCACTTTACTGAATCCCGTGTGAATAATGTCGTATTATGCACAATTTTCATGAAACCGGATAAGCATATAATATTCCAATAACACAAAATAACGTCCGACTGCTAGTTTTACACGCCAAAATGTTAGCATTAAAATCAAATAACTTTCTGGTGTAATGCGTTTTCATAATCAGCAAATAATGTAATTAAACTCAAAACTGAAATAAATCTCAAAGCTGTCCGATAAAATTTATTACAATTCACCATTAGATTATTCTCCGAAATGTTATGTATCAGCAATTCGTCGTTTTTCCACATTATCTTTATTTTCTTATTACGTAAGCTTTATCTATTTTAATGAGCTGAAATTTTACAAAGTAGGAAAATAGGTTAATTTTATAATGTACGTATCCTCTAAGATTTTTGAAAATTTCAACTTCAAAGAGAGGAAATAGGAAGGGAAATAGGAAGGAACTTTGTATAAAAGTCTTTGTTCTTTGAAGTCAGAAACATGCAAATTTAGAATACACCTACTAAGCATAAATAAATAAATAACATATTTTAGGATTTTTGGATTTTCACACTTTAAAGGGAGGGGAAAAGTTGATATTTAGTTGATACTGTCCAGCTCCTCAACAACACCAATCTGATAAGAAGACTTAATATTTAGTTGATTTAGTGGTTAAAACAATATATAGTGTAATTTTTAGTGTTAAACGTTATTAGTACTGTAACTTAATAATTAGACTAAGATAAACTAGTGTTGGAATGGGTTATAAATACGCTGCGACCTAAAATATCTGTCTCTAATGCAGCAAGGAAATGTCTTAATGCCTATAAATTCTTCCAATCATACATTCTCAAGGAAGTGTATGATTCAGAGTGGCTTCAAGTTAGGTAGATCGTCCTTTTTTATTTGGTGTATGTTGTGAAAACTCACAACATTTTGGCTAGTATTCTTTGTGTTAACAGTCTTTGTAAACTGTTATTTAAATATTAGTTACCTTTATTAATAATAATTAAATTGTTAATTTTTGACTACTGCCACCCTGTAAAATCCTTAGATGCATTGTGCAACCAAAAAAAAAAAAAAAAATAAAAAATATAATGTCGAGGTAACATGACAAATTAATTATGACGGTAGATTTGCTTTTGGAATTATTGCTCGTCTTGGCTAGTTAGGTGCCGTATTTGGAGAAATTTGAGTATCCACGTTTATTGTCTGGTGCTTCACAAATAAAATCTGTCTGCGGTTTAAAAATTTGGTGCTTTGTGCTTCACCCCACTGATACGGCCACATGGATGTTGGATTGGGTCGCTGCGTTGTTGACCATGAATGGAGCTGCCATCACTAACACCGTGCAGGGCTGAGTTAAATCGCTACTCCACACCACAACACAAGTATCGTACCCACTTTGATTATTTTTTTATTGACAAGTTAATAGTAACTACAGTTGAGTACAATTATGAACAAAACCCTGATTAATTTTTTCTCTATTATAGTTAGGTTGTATTAGGTTAAGAGCACCTATCTAAATTATTTTAGCTAAAATAAAACAGGTGGTGGCACCTTGATATTTAAAATATTAATTTTCTGGCCACATAGTTAAGAGTTGGTTAGGTAATTTTAATGTACGAACATTCTACACCATAATTTTGGTTCTTGTGTAGTTTACCACATTTATAAGTAGTGTTAATATATTTAAGATTAATTTTTTGGTATTGCGTTTTACTGAATCTAAAAGCAACAAAGGTAACTAAGGGAATCCGTAAACTACTTGCACCTTCAGGAAAAACAGACTTCTTAAGTCGTTATTGTGTATATCTTATTTGGCTTATCATTAAACCCTAAGTGTTTGATGACCACTACTGTTCCACGAATAAAGTCTGGTTCAGTGTGCTCCCAAGTATAGTGCCTGTAGGATTGGAGTTAGACTTTTGAGGAATAAAAAATATTTATTTGCTTTAAAAATAAATTTAACACGATATTTTCTGGTTATCCTCACCCAGAAGTTTCTAACAAAAAAGTCAAATGATGTGCCACTGGTCTCCTCGTGCCATTTATAATTCTTGAAGAAGTTACCACCTCGTTGAGGGAATGAACCTACATGCATTAGTTAAAGATAAAAACATATCCTCCTTGAAATCAAAATCGACCGGTCTCGGAGATTTCCCAAAAAAACTTCTCCTAGAAAAACATTTCAGGTAGACTGTTTTAATTAAGCCACCATGTATACCATCATTGGTGTGATTCTGTAATCTGAATCATCGACTATCGGCGTCCCTCTGGTACAGAAGCGCCATCTTGATTTCATACATTCTGATGAACACTTTTTGTAAACAGAGATAGTTCTTCTTACTACACTTTAGTTTTTTAATAAATAGGTAATTGTTTTTAAAAAATACTTACCCATAGCAGCTTGAGTGAGTTATTATTAACTTCATATTATTGACTAAATCAAAATATTCCGAAAACGATATACAGTACCGTTTGGTGTAGAATTATTGAATTATTTTTGAGTTCACATGAAATTTGGACTAGAAAATTTAACCTCAAAAAAGTTATGTTTAAAACTATTATAGCGCCCTTTATGAGAGGCAGATATAAAAATCAATTTATGAGGTTTATGAGCTTCCAAAACATAGTCGTACAAAATTTCAATGTTGCAGAGTTGGGTGGTATCCGGACACTTCTGAATCCGGTTATTTTTTTAATTTTTTATCCCGTATTCGTATCCGTGATCAAATTTGGATACTTTTCTCGATGTTCAGATACTTTTAAATTAAAACATAAGTGGATAAAGGTGTTATGTCACAAAAAGATTATTTAGAGAAAAAAAGTTCAAAGTATTACAATTGCATTATGTTATATGGTTCGTGATACCTTCCTATCCGATGAATAGCCGATATTTATCAAAATTGGAAATCAGCACAGGGATTCCTTTGTGCAAACTCGACACAATACGTGTTGAATAGAAAAGAGACATAACATAAGAATCCCAATCTGTTGAACGAAGATAGGCGTCTCGACATATGTCGATGGCTTAGGCGCAATAGGACGTAACCCACAAAAAATGTGTTTTTGCTTTTTTGGCGCCATTTGATTCTAATAGTTACTACTGTGTCCCTACAATACATCTTATGTCTCATCACTATTAAAAAACCTCTCTATTATATTATTTCAAAAGGTCGTATCTCCTGCGAATGTAAAAGTGAAAGGCAATAGGTCGAAAACCACAAAAAATAATTTCAGTGCAATATATCGTAACCCTAGCAAATTGTTTATCTGTTGTGGGTGCTCTACCAAAAAACGCTGCAAAAGTATAGTTATTTAAATATTTTTAACAGTTTTTGTGTTATACATAGAAGGTAAGTGTATATTTTTATCATAGACATAAAAATATCATAAACTATAATTTTCTAGACTATGTTTATTGATTTATTTTTGGAATAACATGCGAATTCATAATCTAACATTACTTTTAATTTGTGGGTTACGACGTATTGCACTACCAGGTAATATGTCATATCCCTCATTTTCAAATAACTTGAGGCTGTATGTGCCTGTGTGTAGGGGTGCTAGTTTGTAATTTTAAAAATTATTACACGTTTCTTGCAAAAAAGGTTGTGCGTGTTCAGGGCTGCCAGTTTTTTATATTTAAATATATGTATATATATATTTTTTAATTTTCACCTGTTTACTAGATTGTTTTGTCCTTTACAGGATGTCCACTCAGAGTGGCCGTATTTTAAAAGCTGCTCTGGCGACTAATACTAACAGCTCATCTGATTATGCGGCTGATGTTCTTGTATCAGTGCTTCAGCCGTTCACTTCATATGAATTTGTGATTTCTGGTGAAGGAATTTTACAACATGAAAGCCTTATACTAGAGAAGCCAGTATCAGTTAATTGCTTTGAGGAATTTTGTCACAATCAAGATTTGGTTTCTTATAATAGCGTTCTTTCTAATGAAAACCCTTCACTAATTCAGCCTGTAAAACTTACCGATATAGAAGGAATTCCTCCAGGCGACGACCTGGTAAATTTGCAGAATTTTCCCTTTTCCTTGGCTGAGTAGACTAGCTAATTAAACTCTGTAAGCCACTTATGTTGAAACCGAAGTTTTACTTTTTTGGCATTGTACAATACAGACACACATTCAGCTCGATTTTTACTTGCACAAGCTGTTGCTGTTGCATTCAAGATCAATGAACTAGATGATTTGTTTGCATCAGTTCTCTTCCTTTTCAAGAAGTTTTCCAAGGAAGTTTGTTTACTTATAACTAGATTTTTGTTTATTTTTCTGGCAAAACAACACACAAAACATAAACAATTCACAATCTATGTTGCGTCAGATACAAAACTGTGAAACACTAAGTGAAATAAAATTCAACTTTAAATTCTGAACCATGCGGCACGCGCTCAAATTGTAAAGTAGTGGTGGTGGTCGTTGGATAGATTTACAGCGACAGCGAGCACACATCTACACCTACAGGTCTGAGCTTGTCCGAGCCTTGGAATCTGATTGAGATCACGTAGTCCAGGAGCTAATTATATAATCGATGATGATATAAGCAGAAAACTCGTTTTTAAAATGCCGCGAAAACTCACAACAATTTTGAGATAAATTAATTTTGTATTTATTGAGTTACTTCTAACACCTGTATGATGTTTTTGATTTAGTAATTATTATAAAGCGATTTAAAGGTCTCTTGCTCTTATTTTTTCTTATGATCACTTATCACTTTGATGATGTGTTTGAGTTTGCGGACGTGTTGGGACTTCCTGGATACGCCACTGGGTAGAACGACCTACACAATGTCACAACACACTACACTATCCAATACGCGCAAACGCAAGACTAGAAATTAGAAGAGATCGTAGCCCGAGTATGCCATGTTTCATCCGCCTTATCAAATAGTTTCGTATGTATGGAAAATTTGTTATAAATATTATAGATGACATAATAAAAAAATATGGATGTAATATAAACAAATATACCAATAAGCTTTTAATATTAATAAACCTAAATGTATGCATATTATTTACTTCTATCTACTAGTTTATCGCCAACAGGAAATTATATTTAAACGTATAATATACAATAACTAGTATCTATAAACGTTTAATTTATCTGTTAAAAAATGATAAGTATAAAAATAGCAGTTGTTACAACGTTTAAGAAATCAACCAAGACGAAATTTAAACGTGAGTTATTAACGAAAAATACATATTATATTACATAAATGTATATAAATTTAAATTAAATAATCCCAAACGTATATTTAGGCACACTGTCTACAAATCGATAATCGCAAACTAAAAATAGTCGTATGTTCACGGAAAAAAATGTGACTAGAAAATTTTACTACAATGTTGTAGTAGTAGACTTGTAGAAAAATACTTAACAATTTGTAGAAAATTTTACTACAATTTATAGTTAAAAACTATTCATTATTGTAGCAATTGAATTGTCGAATAAAATGCTACAACAATAGGAAAAAAGTCTACAATGTTTAGTATATTTTACTATTGTTTGTATAAGTAGAAATTTATTACAATTATCGTAATTACTACTACTAACTTCTGAAAAAATTTGTACAAATATTAATAATTATCTCTACAAAAAATAGTAATTTTCTCTACAAAAAATAGTAATAATTTACATCCCTGTTTATGAAAAAAATTCAATTTTGTTCAAAAATATTCTATAATATTGTAGAAATTCTAAGTCATGTGAGCAAAACAGAATTCTGCTATTGGCCAACGTTTTCTGACGTCGATCATAAATGGCCAGACAGCAGTAGCCGTTCGCCATGTTCACATAACAAAGCATGGTACATATACAAGTACCTATAACACATTATTATATTATAAGCACCGATGCGTTTAAGAAAATTTTAATAATAAATTCTATTGGTGGTAAGTACATTTATTATTGTTTCTGAATAATTTACCTTTAGATAACTAATTTAAATAACCTTAGTAGATTAATTAAAAAAAATAGTTGTGGCCAACGATCGAATGTTGTGCCCAACGATCGAATTTTGTGCCAAGCTCAATGATGTTTTTTTTTTGTCTTAATTGTGACATACCTACTTTCTTATTTTTGTTTGTTATCTGACTTAGTCATTTAATATCCAAATCAGTGTAAAGGTGATAAATATCCCCGTTTTAAGAGTATGAACAGTTTAATTGTTATTAATTTTTATTTCATATTTTTCAGGTGCAGAAAAGCCAACTGAGACTGAGGGTGCTATTATTACTGTTATTTATTACATAATGTAATTAAGACTTTGTATCTTTTATATTAAAACAATAAATTGAATATTTTATTAAGGAACATTTTTTTCTAGGTTATAATTATAATAATTATGGAATACTACTACAAGTTTTATTAAAAATTACTACAATTTGTATGAATTTTTACTATTTATTGTGTAAAATTTTCGTATTTATTTTCATAAAACGCAATACATTTTTAATATAAATTCATACAATGAATAGCAAAAATTATAACAATTTGTAGAACAATTCTTATGATGCATTTGGATATTTTTACTAAATATTGTAGATAATAACTCTACAATACATTCTCCACAAATATTTGGAAATTTTTACTACAAATTGTCCCTGTCCCTATATGTACTATTTATTGTAGAGAAAAAATCTATAATTGTAGAAATTTGTTCTACAATTTTTTTTCCGTGTTGTTAACTATATTTAAACGTAGAATAATTTACAATTATATACCATAGAACGTATAAAAAAACGTATAATATATTATTTAAAAAACGGTTTGTATAATAATCGTAAACTGTAAACGTATACGGAATCAACTAATTCCAAATATAAATGAGAAATACGTATAAAATACGTTAATTATACCAATGTGTGCTGCTCTGTACAAAATAAACCAGTTCTATCACCATTACTCGATGTCTGTATATTAAACAATATTGAAATTAGTGTAAATCAAAATAATGATCAGCATCATTTTTTTGGCGAATGGACTTAGTATCCGTAGCCAAGGGAAACTTAAATTTAATCACACACACATCAACATCATTTGTCTATTTTCATAAAAAATTAATAGCTTGTCAACCTATAATGTTTGAATTTAGTATTACTAAACTATTTTAAGAACGAAATAAAATACTTAAAAAATATACATTTTATTTGCCACGTAAGAATACAACAGCCTGTATATCCTAAACTATTTTTAAAACATGAATTTTTGAAATTCATATAACTTTTAATTAAAACTCGTATGCGTGTCTGTAACACATTTTAAAATATTGAACAATTATGCACTAATGGGACACCCTGTATATTATTCCAACCTTGCCTATTGCCTATTGTATAAATTATTTTTTAATCATCTGTTTATTCGTCGTTCAGTAGATTTTATAATTGTAACTCGTTTTTGCGATTTTTTTATTTATTTTGGATACCCTTTTAAAATATACTAAACTATTATCTGTTAAATCTTCAGAACATTCGATCTGCAATAAAATCTTGAACTCATAAAACTTGCTTCGATAAAAACAAATCCTCCCACGATTCCCAATTTTCGATTTGTCATGCCATTAATTTAAGATGACCTAATTGGTTTTGTATCTCGGCAGATGCAAGAATTTTAAATGGAGTATTTTAGCTCGATCGAATCCACTGGCTAGGTAATGTAATTGAATTCAAATGGAATATACATTTTCTTTTAACGGGAATTCGCCTTCGGTTTTCTGAGTACCGCACCTGGGTAGGGTGTAAAGAGGTCATATTATACTCGAAGCAGAATTTAACGATTTTCAAAAAAAAAAAAATGTTTCTTTTGTGAGTTATGGAACTTCGTAGATCACTAACAATGACAAAATTGGTTTGACCCCGCTAATAATCACAGTATTTCTAAAATTAATATAAATATCTAACAATTAAAAGTTCTGTTGCTCTAGAAATATTTTCTAAAACTATATAAATTTTACTGGTTATTTAAAATTATTGCAATATAGATAAATACCTGAGCCAAAAGGTTCCATAGTAAAATTATAAGAAAATTTACACAATATTCCTACTGACAATTATTTGTCAGTAACTAGGATAGGAAAAATAAATAATGAACAAGGTTTTAATGCGTATGCATAAAATGTTTAATGCTCAATAAACCATCTACAAAAATTATTCATATTAGTTAACCAGGTAAAAATTAATTTTTAATTCGAGCCAACAGTCCAATAAATCATGTCCCGAAGCTATAGGGCTCTTAGTGTCATCGTGTAATTAAGCACTAAGTGATCTTTATTGCAGGATAATTCTGTTAATGATTTATGTGTTTTGACTAACTGCAAACCGTAAACACCTCCGTCATAATTATGCCATGTCACCCCATTCTCAACGGGGTAAGCGCGTTATATTGGAGAGCAAGAAAATGATAATCCTGATTATTACACTGAGCAATTTACATAAACAAATATTGGTACTGCAAAGAGTAAGATTATCATACACAATCTACTAAAATCCGTTATTAACCAAATTTTTATAAGCTTGTTTCTACTAAAAGAAGTCGTTCTAAATTTAAAATAAAAATGAGAAATTAAAAATGATTTTTAAAGAAAATTTACAGATAAATTAATAGTATGAAAGGTTAGATATCAACTGGTAAAAATGTTTTCATGAATAGGTATATTTTTTTCTTCTCGATGTTTTTGAAAATTTTCTTCTAGCTTTGCCTTCTCTTCATCTGTCGCGTTTTTGTAACCTTCACACTAGTTGCATTGATCCTTTTTTGGAAAAAAAAATCAAATGTTAAATTCTGTAATAAATATACGCGAGTAGGTGTCATAGTTTGCAGCTGGCAGGTTAGCAGAAGACCGATCTGAAGAATAATGTTTAAAATTTCGGGATCAGTCTTTTGCGGTTATCATGTTTCCCTCTATTATCCACAGGTGATAACTCGGTGTCAGTCAACTTAGGATCGTCTTTTTGTGTTATTCCCAACGTATTTATAAGGAACTTTTGGCACACATGCAATTTCTGGTCATTGTTCTTTAGGTAGAAAGCGCAATTCGGCCTTCTAGGTTTT